GATCATAAATTCGAGCCCAGGCAGGCAGTTTAGCAAGATTCAGTCTCAAAACAAAAAACAAAAAAGGCTGAGGATACATTTTAGTATGAAGGCCTCGAGTAACATTTCCATTAGCTGACCTGCCAAAAAAAACTGGGCATGGAGACACACAACAGTAATCCCAGCACTTGGGAGGCGGAGGCAGGAAGATCACCACGGGTCTGAGGCCAGACTAGGCTACTCAGTTAGTTCAAGGCCAGCCTGAACTGAGAATCTGAAAAAAACACCAAAAAAAGAAAAGAGAATTGATCTGCTGGTACTGCTAATTTCACAAATACAACAAACATGTAATAAAAACTGCAAAAACTTAAGCTTGGTAATAGTCAACAGACAACTCTGTCCCACAATTACGTTTATTAAAAACTGACAAACAAAACCTGTACAAAAAATAGCCCCAGTCACTTCTGCACCAGTCATCTTGGGAAGCGTTATCGCCTGGGACCCCCTCGTCCTCTGCCACGGCCACGTCCTCTTCCTCGGCCTCGGCCTCGACCTCTTCCTGCCACAGCTTCCCTCTTCTTAGATTTCACCTTAGGTTCAACATCCACAAGTAGCGTGTCCAGAGGCAAGCTGTCTGGCAGAATGAAATAGCGAATGTTATTCCCACGAATGCTCAGTGTTTCCAGCTGCACTGGCTCTCTGTTCTTCAGGGTCATCTTCACAGCTTTTAGATGTGTATTCATGCTGACGTCTACACCTGTGATTGTTCCATGGACCTGTGTTCCATTCTTCAATTCAGTGGTGACAGTTTCATCAAAAATCTCACGAGCTTCATCCTAGCGGCGCGGACGGCCTTTCCACCCGGTTGCGCGTAAAATAGTACGAGCAAGATCCAGCAGCCCGGCCTTTGTTTACTTTCCTAACACAAATTTACCCTTACCACGGAGGTCATAGGCAAGAATTCATTGACCTGAATAGTTTGCAGTGCCCTCTTCTGCCTGGTACCCAGAAGTTCTTCTGTGAAGCTAGCTTGCCCACAGGTGTGCATACTTCACTGTGTAGAATGGCACTATCACCCGTGCATAGAAACCTGGTCTCAGATAATGTCACAAAAAAGAGGAACCCATTTCCAGGGTCTAGAGAGACCTAAGGAGGCCTCTTTTACTGTTCTTGCCTTTTTTAAGCCATGGTAGAATCTTCTGCCCATAACTGAGGATGCCACATGTTTGTTAAACAAGAGGGACTCTGTTTCTGAAGGGGGGGGCTATGGGTGTCATTTGCCTTTCTGTGTCCCTGTACCTACTGTACAGCATGTGCTCAGGAGGAGTGCATGGCCCTGCCTTCCACTCCTGGCTTCTTCCCCCATCGCTGGTTCCCAGGACACTGCATAGACAGGGACATGGGTTCTCTTGGCTGGGGTCTGCTGGTCAAATCCCCCATCCATCACACACAGGAGCCCCTCTGAGGCCTGGGGACCACATCTGACTTCTGTAATGGTCATCTCACCTCATCACACAGCCATTCTCCCCTCTTCTTTCTACTCTTCCTCTCCCTCTCTCCCTCTTTTCTTCTCTCTTTGCCCTAGGTTCTAACTTGCTGTCCACTCCCATGTCCTCCATCTCTTGACTAGAGAGACTTGGAATACCACTCCCTGGAGATGGCTCTCAGCACTCCTGAGATATTTGGAACAACTTGAGTTTCTTTTCTACTCTTGTTGGTGATATCCATGGTCCACCTTCAATAAAAGTCTGATCCCAACATGACAAGGAGAAAAAGAGAGGAAATTCATTCCTTCCTTCACTTTCATCCAGAGAATGTCCTAGAATCTCAGGTGCATAGTAAGAAGAGAAAGGAAAATCGGGACATTCTTCCCTTTTTAATCATGATTTTTGGTCACTCTACACTGAGTCAACATTCCTCTTCTGTTAGGAAGAGCAGGCCCCCTCTGGGTGTGCAGAACTGTCCACTTTCCTTGCTAGAAAGTGCGGCTGAGACACCTGCTTTGCCGTCTTTCTCACCCCAGGCTGGGGGCCACATAGAGCACCCAAAGGGTTGCAGGGGAAAATTCTCAGTAAATACCTGCGCGTGATCATGACCATAGAAAAAGAGACAGTGACTCACTCTCTTCCTGCAGAGTGGGAAATGAAACTTCTGGTCTGGGACTTTTACATCCACCTCCTTTGAAACCCAGAGGACCCTCAGCCAAGTATTCCTGCCTCCTTCTCAGCCTCTTCCTGCTTGATCTGCCTTTCATCCAGAGTTCAGCAAAACAAGACTTCATTTTCTTTGCTTGGAATCAATGCCTTCCAACCTCAGGGCTTTCTATGCAGTGAGCCTAAGCCTGGTGAAGCTTCTTGCTCCTTTTCTGGGACAACTGCAGGAGAATGTGGAGTTCTATTAATAACTCATGCAGGACCAGGAACAGGACCAGCAGCAATTTGGGAAAAGAAGCAAGGGACCTGACAGCCTAAAGACATGTTGTGTGGTAGCTCCTTTTCTCAAACACTCTTTGAACAGGATCTTGATAATTTGGATTCTTTTCCACCTCCAGGCCCTGGACTATGATAGTTTGTGGAGGGAGGACAAGAGCAGGAGGCCAGGGACAACTCTGGGTTTAGACTAGTTATGAAGTATGATGGTCCAGAAGCAGGATGTTCTAACTCCTTGTGAGCACTGGCAGAACCAAGGCTCTGCAGCCTGATGGAAGTCTCCAGAGAGCATATATATTCACATGAGTTCTAGGGATGGTGGTCACTTAGAGCCAGGCCCTCAGTATAGGGGACAGTTAGTGTCAATGTTTAGAACCAAGAGTGGGCCTGAAATCTACAGACAGAATATGGGCAGAGGAGACATGAGACAGGACAAATAGAGCATCATCCTTGTTACTTGGCTTTCTTCTCAGGGTTGGGGAGGTGCATATGGGGTTCTCTCTGGGTTCTTTCATCTAGTTAGCGCTTCAACTCCAGCCTTATCCCAATTTGCAATAGAGAGCAGCAGGAGCTGCCAGATGGGCCACGCTGCGCTCTGAGGCAGAAGGCTCCTAATGTCAAAGGCAGCAGAAGCCCTTGAACATTCAGGTAATGATTTCCTTGGCTCTGCTAACTGACACCAGCTGCCATCCAGTGGCAGAGTTGGATTCAGTGAGACAGGCCGGGTTTCTTTTGGATGACCAGGCCTTCTATTCACTTCTGGGTAAGGTATAAATCACACCTTTTTATGCCTTTCCCAAGGAAACTGGAACTGCTGGAGGCAGTCAAAAGAAGAGATAGGTAGCTTTTGGAAGGCAAAGGCCATTCTGTAGTCTGAAGAGTCATGATCAGCCACCCATCCATCCACCCACCACTTCCTTTTATTCACTCACCCACCAATCCTTTATACACACATTCAGCTGTTCATATATCATTCCTTTCCATCCAACCATCTATTCACCCATTTGTCCATCTGTCCATCCACCCATGCATGTATCTATCCATCCATCCATCCATCCATCCATCCATCCATCCATCCATCCATGCATGCATCTACCCACCCATCCAATTATCTATACCAACTTCTTTCCTTTTATTCATGCCTCTTCTTTTCCTCTTCTCCCTTCCCTCTTTTCTACCTTAGAAGTATTTGTCTAGAATCTTCTGTGTATCAGGTTTCCAATATTTGAGAGATTTCTTTAAAACAGGACAAGCTTTCCAGGACAAAATTAGGTCTTCATTGGCCTCAAATTTGTTCATCCATCCCCTAGCATCTCCCACAGATGGAACTCTACATTTAGGCTTGCAACAAGGAGGAGATATGGGTAAAGAGATGAAGGGAAAAGAGAGAGAAAGAAAAAGTTTCTAGTCTGATGTTGCTGAGCCTTCCTACTTTGAGATACTGACAGCTGCAAGAAGCAGAGGGGAGAACCCACATCTTGCATTTATTTTGATCTTTTTTTTTTTTTTTTTTTTTTTTTTTTTTTTTTTTTTTTTTTTTTTGTGGAACCAGGGATTGAGCTCAGGCCCTTCTGCTTGCCAGGAAAGCACTTATTCCACTGATCCATCTCCCCGGCCCCTCTTACATTTATTTTGAATTTCTGAAGTTGCATTTCCAAAAAGGGTATGAATCAGCAAAGATGTTTTAACAAAGTAAAGTGGACTATTTTGTTGCAATGATCTCATAACTGGTCTCCCTGCTCCAAGGCTCCCTCTACTCCCATCTGTGCCCTTCACCATGATCAGAAATGGTCTTTCTACAATGTCCTTGTCCCATTTCTCTTCTACCTGAAGGCTTCCATTGGCTCAGTGCTACCCAAAAGCCAACAATCAAAGTCCTTAACACGATAGAAAAGGCTCTTCATGATCTGATCCCTGGTGCCTCCTTAGCCCTGTGTCTCCTCACTCCTGCTGTGTACATGTACATTGCATTCGCACAGGACTGGAGTTGCTTACAGTTGCCCAGGGATCCCATGCTGGTTTATGGCCTCTGTTGTTGACTGTGGTCAACTCTCTTTCTGGGACTTTTACCTTGACCCTGTTCTCTGTACTTCCTATGAACTGCACCTATCACCTGCTGTTATTCTCGGCATTTGTAGTGTAATTTATTTGCTCAGGTCTGCCTTTCTTTTCAGACTATGGGCTACTTAGGTGAAAAGATTGTGAATTTTTCATCTCTGTGGTCCTGTGCTTCATTCACTGATACTTAGAAGGCAATCAACGTATTTGTGGAGTGAATGGGTGGGTGGATGGATGAGGGAATCCATTCAAGAGCAATGGGATAGCTTTGGGACAAGATGGCTAAGGTGTCAATGTAACACTCTTTAGAGAAAAAGACAAATGGCCTCTTCCTAAAAGCTCAGACCCCTGAGGAAGGAATTAGACTGTGACCTCAGCCACACTGTCTAAGGTTTCTAGGTTAGTAATGGGGAACTCTGGGATGACATAGAGACCTGGTGTGGGAATCACTTCCTGTTTTCTCCAGATAAAAGGTTCAGAGGGGAGAGAATCAGCCAGAAGCACCTGTGCTGCAGGCCAGGGTGGGCGTGTGGGATGAAGGCTGCAGAGACAGAAGTCCATGATGTGCACTTCTCTGTGGATAAGCAGAACATTGCCCTCTGGCCTCGAGGCAAGCGCAGCCCCAATGCCAGCCTGATGGGTGCTCCTGTCCAAACCCACCCGTGACCACTCGTTAATAAACCTTTGCTTCTGTTTCTTCTAGAATCACCTAAGCAAGATCCACCTCTGGGCCCGAGGAAGCCTCTCACCATCCGTGTGGTGTTGATCTGCTTGTCGCTGGCTGTGGTCGCCTCCATCGTGCTGCAGGCCGTTCTCTGTGAGTCCTTAGGGTCATGGCCTCTTGGTCCTTCTCCACCACCGGTTGGCTCCCTCAAGTCCCAGAACTTCTCTTTGCTGCTTTCTCTGGTCTCTGGTTTGTGATGTTTCATTTATCTCCATTCTCCTCTCTCCATGCATGAGTGGATATTCTTTCCTTCCCTGTTTCTGGGAGGCTTTTCCAACAGGCATCTGTGCTCAGCGCATGCTCTTTTTTCCCCATGAAGGAGTCTCCACCACCCCTTTTTAAATCCCATTCCATTTTCTTCCCCAGCTCTCTGCCACCCTGAACCATGGAAAGCCCCCGGCAGTGAGTGCAATGTTTTCAGACCCTGCAAGGGACTGAGTTACAGGAGTGTCCTCTGCCTCAGCCGACCAGATGGGGAACCTGGCCATCAAGCTAGCAGATCTCTGTGGCTCAGGCCCCTCACCAGGCCCCTCCATGCCCTCTTTATTCTCCTGTCCTCATGAAGATCATGTGACAGAGTCTGCCGACTCATCACTCTCATGATCTGTGCTGCTGGCAGGGCCATACTCTTCCCACAGGTTTCCAGACAGCAGAGTGAGGTGACATCTGTCTTCTCTTTAGTGGCTCGTGGCATATTTTGTCTCAGGTTGTAGCTTCCTAGCAGCAACCTTCTTTACAATCACTTGCCTGGACCCAGATGTTAGTCTCCAACACTGCCTTTCTCCTGCGCTGTCCTTTGACTGCTCTTGGGTTACTTTTTGTTCCCTCCAGTGCCCCAAGCTTGCAACCAGAACAGAGTGTGAAAGGGGGCAGGGCAAGTATCTTGTATCTAGTGTCCCCCCCATAAGCCTCACGTGGTCACAGGCAGGACCATTCAGGGGCATCTGGATCTAGAGTGTGTGATGATGTTTTTTGTTTTTGTTTTTTTTTTTGAGACAGGGTTTCCCTATGCAGTTCAGGTTGTCCTTGAACTTACTGTATAGCCCAGGTGAGTCTTGAACTCATAGCGAGCCTCCTACCTCAGCCTCCCAAGTGCTGGGATTACAGGTGTGTGCATGATGATGGGATTAAGGGTGTTCAATTACTAAATTCATCTACTGATGGGTTTGCCATAGTTCAGGGTATGGATAATAGGAAGGTCGACCCTGAGTGGGAATGATGCCTACCCTAATGGTAGGATACAGGGGACAGAAAGAGGGCTGCAGTCATTATTTATTTTGCTACTTTGCTGCCGTCCGCCTTTACCCTGGCACACACTATTTCTCCTCTGCCATGCCACGCAGCCTCAGAGCCAACTATATGCTGAAACCTCCTCTAGGAGCTACAATGAATCTTTCCTCCTTTAACTTTGGATATCAGGTGTTTTCTCTCAGCAATGAGAAAAGCAACTAAGACAGCAAGGGAAGGAGAGAAGAGGCTGCTTTGCATGTTCTCTGGAGAAAAAGCCACTGCTGGGTTAGGACTCTGTGCATGTGGCCCTTCCGTGGCCATGGAGGGGGCTGTGGACAGACATGGGAGGAGCGGTGCTGCCCCAGCTGAGACCTCTGAAAGGAGAAGGCTGGGGGCCACTGCCTGGGCCTGGAGGGACCAACGGGTAGAAAGAGTGGCAGGGGGTGACTGAGGGCTTCTTTTTACCAAATTCACCCTGAGCACTCAAAGGAAATTCAGAGCTGGATTCTAATCCCTGCTTCTGCCTCACGCCCTCCTAAACCAATCCTCTCACAGTCCACACCCCCAGAGTTCCTGGCCCATAGGGGCATCCTTTTATTTATTTATTTATTTAATTTTATTTATGTGTGTGTGTGTGTGTGTGTGTGTGCGCGCGCGTGCGCGCGCGCGGCCAGCTCAGCCCACCAGGGGGCGGGGCTGGCTGGCATGTGGTGCTGGGGGATTGAACTGTGGTCCCTGTGCTTTGCTAAGCTTGTTCTAAGTAGGTGCTTTAGACCACTGAGCCATCTTACCAGCCCCCATCCTTTTATTTTCTAAAAGTCTCTTTATTTATTTATTTGGTAAAGGGTCTCGCTATGCAGCTTGTACTCATAATGCTCCTCCTGTCTCAGCCTCCTCAGTGCTGGGAATATAGGCATGTGCCACCATTCCTGGTTTCTGTGTCCGGCACAGTCCGGGGCTGGCATGGCATGCAGTTCTGGGGACTGAACTCAGGTCCTTACGCTTGCCAGGCAGGTGCCTAGACCACCGAGCTATTTCCCTGGCCCTGGGGACACCCATTTCATGCTTGCTGTACATCAATGAATGATGGAAGAGTAAGTGGCAGTTCCCTGGGACCCCTGAGCCTAGCCCTTCCCTTCCTTCTGTTGCCCTGACAACACCCACATTTCCTCCCCAGGCAATCTCTCAGCTGACCTCTTGCCTTTTTCCAATCTAGATCCCTGGTTTATGGGCACAATCTCTGATGTCAAGACCAATGCTCAGTTGCTGAAAGGCCGTGTGGACAACATCAGCACCCTGCCTTCTGAAGTCAAGAAGAACAGTGGTGGCGTGAAAGCAGCTGGCGTTCAGATCCAGATGGTGAACGCCAGCTTGGATGGAGTGCATTCTCAAATCCTGATACTGAAAGCCAGCGTGGAGACAGCCAATGCCCAGATCCAGAGTTTAAGAAAAAAGTGGGAGGAAGTCGATCATTTAAATACCCAAATACCAGAATTAGAGAGAGATTTGGACAAAGCCAGTGCTTTAAATGGAATGATCCGGGCACTACAGAGCAGACTGGACAATATCAACAAAATGCTCAGACGACAAAGTAAGTGACTCAGGAAATGACATGCAGGCGGACTGGTGGCCCCTGAGACCTTGTCATGTTAGCTGTGAGACCATCAGGCTGATGGGTGAGCAGGGGAGAGGCAGGCACAGGTTAGAAAGCTGAGGAGAGAGGGCCTAGTGCTGGGCTCAAGGAAGACTGAAGGGAATCTAGCAGAGAGGACACCATGGCCAGCTTGAACCCCCACACTGAGGCACACAGCCTGGAAGATTAGGGAATGGATTCTCTCTCTTGGCGCAAACCACCACACTTCCCATAATGTTCCTTATTTCAAGCCCTAGTGCACAGCCACCTGTTAGGGCTAGGGGACAGTCACTTTTCCCTCATGGGAAAGTCAGATCCCTGGTGCCTCCTCTCCCATTGTCTTCTCCAGTCCCATAAGCCCTGTTCACCAGTTTCAGTTAGACTTCTAGAACCCCAGGGGGTCCCTAACCTCCTGCACCAGGCAGGAGCCCTGGGCCTCACATCCCAGCCCCATGCACTGCTGTCTCTGAGACCCCACTCAGATATGCTGCCCTGGCCCTCACCCCAAGGAAACAGGACTCTGCATTCACCTTCAGTCCTGTTCTCCAGGTGACATCCTGCAGATGGTTTCTCAAGGCTGGAAATTCTTCAGGGAGAACTTTTATTACTTTTCTCACAACCCAAAGACCTGGTACAGTGCCGAGCAGTTCTGTATGTCGCGGGAGTCACACCTGACTTCGGTTACCTCCCAGCAGGAGCAGGTGAGCACTGTTTCCACGTTGTCTGTGACAGGGCTTGTGGCTAGCTGTCTTGGGAGGCTGGGCAGGATTATGTGGTGGAAACAAAATCCCAAATATTGGCCACCTATCAAGGGAAGATTATTTCTTGCTTACACTACGTATCCAACAAAGGCTGCTTGTTGTGGGTACTCAGGACCTAAGCCGGAGGAGACTTAGTGTGTCTGCAGTTGTTGAGGCAGGAAAAGAGAACATTGCAAATTGTTCATTTGCTCTTAAAGCTTCTCCCCAGAACTAACCACATGAGTTCAGCTCACATTTCAGTGGTAACAGGGAATTATGCAGTATTCCTGGCTTCCAAAAGGGCAGGAATACTGCATAAGGCTGCACACGCTCTTTCTCTGTGCCCAGTAAGTGGAGATATTTATCAACAATGTTCTACATTGGGCTGGTGAGATGGCTCAGTGGTCTAAAGCACCTACTTAGAACAAGCTAAGCAAAGCAAAGTACAGGGACGGTGGTTCAATCTCCCAGCACCACATGCCAGCCAGCCCGCCCCCTGGTGGGCTGAGCTGGCCACACACACACACACACACACACACACAAATAAAATAAATAAATAAATAAACTATTAAAAAAAAACAATGTTCTACATGACTCAAGAAATTTCTTTCTTTTTGAGGCAGGCTATTAACCAAGTCCCTTCATCTGTGAGGTGGACAGAGCAGGTAAAAACGTGCTCTGAAGTAGTCTAGAGTCCCAACCTGCTGTCTAATTAGCTCTAGAGCCTGGGTAGGTAGGTCTCGGCTAATGACTTAATGAAATATGCATGATAACAGTGCCTGCCTCAGAGAATGAAGGAAGAGACACAAGAGCATGTCCTTCTCATGTGCCTTGCATATTTAAAAGGCTTGTTGACTTTAGGTGTAGTCATCTGGGCCAGTCTCTTGGGATCCCTGCTGTAGGGTTCAGTTGACTGTCCTACCTGTACCTGCTTCCAAGGAATAGAAAGACCTGAGCCCTGACTTTGTTAGTTGCAGAGAAAATGCAAATCAGAATTTGGAAGATGGACTCTGGGTTCCAGATAAGGTCCAAAGGAGGCTTGCGAGAGGCCAGTGTGCAGAGTGTGTCTGCGAGTTCAGGGCCTGTCACTGAGCACCGGGGAGATGTAGAGATGAGGCTTGGACTTCAGGCTGTGGCCTGCACTTCTGCTCACTCTGTGTCCCCACAGGAGTTTCTATATAAGACAGTAAGTGGAGTGCCAAACTGGATTGGCCTGACCAAGGCAGGCAGCGAAGGGAAATGGCACTGGATGGATGAAACTCCATTCAAGGAAAGCATGAGGTGAGCCCTACACCTTCCTTCTTTGGGCCAGAGCCAGGCTGTAGAGGCTTGGGAGTATTTCCCATGCACACAGGTTTTTTTTTTTTTTTTTAATTTTATTTATTTGTGTGTGTGAGTGCGTGTGTGTGTGTGTGTGTGTGTGTGTGTGTGTGTGTGGCCAGCTCAGCCCACCAGGGGGCGGGGCTGGCTGGCATGTGGTGCTGGGGGATTGAACGGTGGTCCCTGTGATTTGCTAAGCTTGTTCTAGGTAGGTGCTTTAGACCACTGAGCCATCTCACCAGCCCCTAAATTTTATTTTTTAATAAGTATTTTATTTTTTTATGGCTTTTTTTTTTTTTTTCGGAACCGGGGATTGAACTCGGGCCCTTGCGGTTGCCAGGGAAGCGCTTATTCTACTGAGCCATCTCCCGGCCCCGCACACAGGGTTTGTGATTTGTCCTTGCCCTGGGAACAGGAGGAGGCTTGGAATTGAGATGCTGGTCACCATTGCCACTCATTGAGTGTGGTACCTGTGGTTCTCTATGCCCTGTGGGGTTTGCCACCAAGACCCTCTACCCAACTTGGGCAGGGATCTTGGTGAACGTCTATGTTTTTACAGATTGGGTTGAGAATAGGAGGATGGTTTGACCTGAACTTGGCGCATGATTGGAGGCTTAAAGGTTGTCACGAGTCCCCTATGTCTTAGGCTTGGGCTCTTGCTGTGCTATCACCTAGGACAAAAACTAGGACTGAAGTAATGCATTTCCTTGTTGGAAATAAATTATCTGTTTTCCAATTTTGTAAATACACTTTTATCTGGTTTTTCACTCTGCAGCTTCTGGATTCCAGGGGAGCCCAACAATATGGGGAACAGTGAACACTGTGTCAATATAAAGTTGTACTCGCTCCAGTCCTGGAACGATGCTTCCTGTGACATTAAGTTCTCTTTCATCTGTAAGCGGCCCTACATCCAGTCATAACCATGATGGCGAGTCCCCAGGTCCCCAAGCTCCAGTGCTTGTCAAACTTGAGGCAATGTCCTCCTTGTCCTTAATACTCTATGATGACTCTGAACATTAATTTTTCCTGCTTCACAATTGTCCCCAAATACATGTCAGAGGCCATTGCTTTGGCTGGGAATTCTCAAACCTGATAGGGGCTGCTGGAAGGGGAAGAACTCGAGTTAAATGGAAGAAGGAGGAGGAGATGATTTAGAAGTTCATCCTGCCTTGGTGAGGTAAATCAGTTCCCCAAATCTGTGCTATCACCCCAAGCTTTCCCATCCCTTTAGAGGAGCCTCATTTATACACATAAAAGTTACATAAAGAAACGAACAAGCTTGCAGAGATGGGTATCGTTAACCAGATTGAAACTTTACCCAATGTATGCATGTATGGAAACACATGGTACTCCATAAATATGTACAATTTTTATATTTTTATGTATCAGTTAAAAATAAATTAAATTTCAATTTTAAATGTAAAATAAGTTTTAAAAAGATCATCATGTGAAAAAGAAGTTGTTTCGCGTCAGTCAAGCAAGTCTCCTGATAGTGTTACTCAGTACTTTTCCTGGTTGATCCCCCGGAATTCTCACTTTCCTGCTTCAGAGTGCTGGTGGCTGCAGATGGCCGTGTTTTCAGAGGGAATAGCTTTCTCTTGACCTCACTGTCCATAGTCCCATATTCCTGTTACCTCTTCATCCTTCTTCTCCTCTGAAGCCTGAATCCCTCTTCCCTGGGGAAACCAGCTAACTTGGTTCAGGTCAGGGGTTGACACAGGCCTGAGTGTTCTTTGGAGCAGTGCCAGTTCCCTCCCTCCCTTTCTGTTCCCACTCACATCTTCCCCCTGACCTCAGGCCCAGGCACCCAGCCCTGCCTTCTGATGTCATTGTCATCATCTGGCCAGCCTCATGGATGCCTGTGTGCCCCACCTCCTCTGTACTGCCTCCTCCTGGATTTCCTCTCCTTCTGTGCCTTAAGCAGGGGAGTGCTCTGAGTACTAAATAGTTCTGTCTAAGCTTCTTTAGGAGAAAATGCTACCTGGGTTAAGGCCTTCCTTGGTGAGCTGGTTGCTTTGGTGGATGTGTAGAAATGGCTGTCTGCCTCACGGGACATGAAGTCCTGGGCTACCCTTGGGATACAGCTAGAGGTCAAGCCAATAAGGACTAGGAACATGCTTGCCTTCGAGATGCCACAAAGTATGAACAGTAGTTTTTTCTAGTTCTTATGGAAATTAAGGAGGACAAGGTCTACAGTGCTATGGTGAGCTCTCTTCTCAGGTATCCCCTGCCACTCTTCTGTTTCCCAGCTTTGTTCTCAAGGAGGAGGTACATCAAGTTATCCCTTCTTCACTGAGATTTTATTCAGAGGATCCAGGTCCACATGCCCAGGAGCTAAGGCAGGAATGAAGGATGGAGTCACTCCAGACAGAAGGCAGGAGAGAAAAAGCAGAAGGGATCACAGGGTGAGCACTGCAGTGGACTCAGCAAAGATGTCCCGTTAGGATCCTCATTAGGGTTCTGGGGAAAAGACACTTTCCTCAGATGAGTGTGGCAAAAGGGTCCGAGCAGAGGGCGGCTGCTTAAGTGGCGTCTTTGAGCCTTACAGAGCCCCAAACACCTAATCCCAAATTTCTCTGCAGCCCTCACCCAGCGGAAAGGCCCCAGCCAATTCCCGCCCTCACTAGACCAGCTGTGTTCCACCCAGTTTTCAGCTTACTGGATTTGCCTTCCCTGCTAGCCTGGGAATCTATTCAATGGGCCAATCACATCCTGCTGCAGGAATGGTGTGTGTGCGTGGGGCATGGGACCTATTTCTCTTATTACTAGGACCCTGGCTGCAAACAGCCCTTACTGGTTTGCTCTGTTTCCAAGGGTAACCCTGTGGGGCTCTGCATGGCATGTGGGCCTTCCAGACGGAGAGTGTATGTGACTGATAAACTGCTGCTGATCTCACCTGTCCACTGTCCTATGTCATGTATCTCTCCATCTGGTACTACTTAGGGTGGAGAGGCCTGAGAGATGGCTCAGTGGAATAAGCACTTCCCTGGCAAGTGCAAGGGCCTGAGTTCAATCTCCAGTTCCACCAAAAAAAGTACTTAGGGTGGTGGGCTGGTGAGATGGTTCAGTGGTCTAAAGCACCTACTTAGAACAAGTTCAGCAAAGCACAGGGACTGCGGTTCAATCCCCCAGCACCACATGCCAACCAGGCCCGCCCCCTGGTGGGCTGAGCTGGCCACACACACACACACACACACACACACAATAAAATAAATAAACTTAAAAAAAAATAAACCTTAAAAAAAAAAAGTACTGAGGGTGGAGAATTGCTCCCTCCCCCCAAAGGGCAAATAGGAGGGGATCAGAATGTGGCTGGCAGGGGTCTGTGGTTCCTCCTGGTGTGAAAAGATGAGCTGGGGAAAATCCAGACCATTTCTTTGAACAGAAGTTGAACCAGGATATTTCAGGGGATGAAGCAAATAAGAGAGGGTTGGGCCAGAGGGCGAGTTAGAGAAAGGCTGAGTGCCTTCATTCGGCACCCATAGAAACTAAAGGTTGAGCTGGCCAGATAGCTCAGTGGATTAAAGCGCTGCTTAGGCAGGTGCAGGGGCAGGGGTTCGATCCTTGGCATTCCCTGATGGCCCACTCCTGGGGTGCACTGAGACAGCAATTGAGACCAGGCATGGTGGCGTGCACCTGTAATCCCAGTGCTTGGGAGGCCGAAAACAGGACAGTCAGTATGAGTCCGATCTCATGTAGTGAGACCCTGTAGACTCTGTACTAAATACATTAAAAAAGAAAAAGAAAGACAGAAAGAAACTAAAGGTTAGCAGAAGCAGAGAAGAGAGGCAAGGTAGGGAAGGAAATGTGAAGAGCAGAAAATGGACAGGATGCAGGGGTGGAGGCACCCCAGGCTCCCCTGCTGTTTTGTCTTAGATCCTTTGTCTCTGCCAGCCTCCTGGCTCCTGGGTGTGGTGGCTCCCAGGAGGAGACTTCCTTCTCCTCACTCCCACTCATTATGTTCCCTTGAAACTGAAAGAGCCCAAGTTGGTGAGGGCGGGTTCTCATCAGCAGCCTGCATCGCATCCTGTGACCTGCAGGCATAGCACTGCTCCGGGCTTCCTTCTTCCTGTAAACCACTGCTGCTGTGCACTGTCCTGGAACCACCGGTCCCACTTCCTACCTTGCTTCGCCTCTTTTCCAACAAAAACCCAGCACTGGATTGCGCACAATCCCCAGCTCACCCTTCAATCTGGGTATGGAGATGGGTTCAACTTTGCCTGTATCGGATGGCCTGAGGAAGAGGGAAGTGTGGTTCTCAAAGTACACTTGGCATGATGCCTGAAGCAGGGAGCCCCATGAGCCCTCAGCTGCCAGAGCCCTTGTCTGTGCCTTGATGGGCCTTTACCTTGCATCCATCTGGTGGATCGAGCCACTCTTTGATAACGCATCACGGCCGGGGAGATAGCTCGTAAAATAAGCACTTGCCTGGCAAGCGCGGGTTCCTGAGTTTAATTCCTGGTACTGAAAAAAAAAAATGTGTTTAGGGATGGATGAGACCTCAAACTTTTCCAGATGTCTGCAGCTATTGGTCAATAGTTGTTAAACTTGAGAATCTCTGACAGCATATACCCTGCTCAGCCTTTGGAGTGGGGGCAGGAGAAACAAACGCATGAGTGACCCTACCATGGAGTGGTTCTATAAAATGCTATTTTTCTTTGGCCAGAGAGCAGAGATGCTTCTAAGCAAGACTATCATAATCTGAGTTTTCTTCCCTGGTAGGGGAAGATTGTATTCTTGTGGGAAAAATAAGAGCGAGGACTCTGGGGTGGGGTGGGAAATGGCAGGAGGAGGTGGAGACAGGAAAGGCAAGGCGAGAATTCCTGCTGACTACAGCTGGAAGGGCTTTGTCCTTCTCTGGCCCAGACTCTGCTGTTTTGCTGAGCAAGGGCTCTCCAGAGTTCTGCTTTCAAGGCCCATGGATAAAATAGTTGCTAAGTAAATCCAGTCTGACTCTTCCTATGTGTGGGGAAACAGAAACTGAGATGGGCCCTTTTCCTTTCAGTGCTGTGCCTGGGGAGGAAACTTGGTGACTCCCATCCCCTGCAGAGAAAGGCTTGGTGGGTACTGCTGGGGCTTCAGTCAGGACTGGGACAGGTGCAGAAAGGTATCCTGCATGGTCCCATGGTGCCTTTCTTCCAATCATGTCAGCTTTCAGCAGACGGGAGGTCAGACATGAAAGATGGGGTTCTGCATTCACACACCATGCCCCTCCTCTACATACACACACACACACACACACACACACACACACACACATGCACAAAGCGTCCCATTATAAATCAGGTGAAGGCAGCCACTCTGCACATTAGGTGTCCATGCACTTGCTGCTTCCGGAGTGGACAGTGGCTTCCGTGGCTCAGGCTCCAATACTAGTCCCTTTCCACATGGCTTCCCCACCACTGGACTCTACAGTCTTTTTAATCAATACCTGGAAGCCTGTGGGAGGCTGACCTCAGGATTTTGAGAAAGATACAGGAAAGGGATGTGGGAATAGAGGATGAAAATATAAAGACAAGGGCCGGGGAGGTGGCTCAGTGGAATAAGTGCTTCCCTGACAAGCTCAAGAGCCTGAGTTCAATCCCTGGTTCTGAAAAAAAAAAAAAAGAAAAAAAGTATATTGGGCTGGTGAGATGGCTCAGTGGTCTAAAGCACCTACCTAGAACGAGCTAAGCAAAGCACAGGGACCGCGGTTCAGTCCCCCAGCAGCACACGCCAGCCAGCCCCACCCCCTGGTGGGCTGAGCTGGACACACACACACACACACACACATGCATAAATAAATAAAATTAAATTAAATTAAAAAAAAGAAAATAGAAAGACAGCAAAACAATATGAGTAGAACAAGCCATTTGCAAGTCTGTGATCAACAGCTTGTGGGAATGAGTGTGATAGAGGCTGACATGTAATTATACTTTTATGAGTTAAAGATAATGTGATCTGTGTCAGTAGCATTATAACCATCTGAAAGTAATGGGGGAAAGGAGAACCAAAAGACAAGAATCTGTCAATGTCATGGCTTGTGTCTAGGTGTCCCCTCAAAGCCTCATGCAGTGGGGCTTTTACAGAGGAGGCTGGATCTACAGTATGTGATGCTGAGATTAAGGGTATCTAAGACTAAATTAGTCCACTGATTGGTTTGCTATAGTTCTGAGTGTGGACAACATGAAGGCCACCGTGGGTATGAGTGTTATCTGCCCCAAGGGCATGTGGCCTGGATATATTACAAGAGACAGAACAAAGGCAGTTCTTGTTGCAATTTATCAATTGCTCCTTCTACTCTGCTTGCTGCTTTGCTGCCTCTTGTTCACCATGAACTGTTTCTCTTCTGCAGTGCCCCTCTGCCATGCCGCCCTACCTTGGAGCCAGCCAACTATGCACTGAAACCTACAAACCGTGAGCTACAATAAACCTTTTTTCCTTCAACTTCGATGTCAGGTATTTTGTCTCAGCAATGAGAAAAGTAACTAAGACAGTCAGTATCTCCAGAACCAACTGTATAGGGAGGCCTTGAGCACCCTGAGGGAATCTTGGCTCTGTTACCCCCGTAGTAGGCACAGGGACATCAGAGTTATGTAGCTCCATGGCACAGCAGTCCCCAGTGATTCTCACTTTTCTTTTTTCTAGTTCTAGGTCCATGAAGCAGCAGGAGTCACCTGAAGAGGTTCTTTTTTTCCCTCTTGGAAGGAGGTTATAATTCCCATTGAGAAGCGGAACATTGGGCCCACTTTCATCTACCAGTCCCTTCTGAGTTAGTGCTGTGAATCTGGTCTGCTGAGGTGCATAGATCTATTCTACAAAAGATGGGGGCTTGGATTCAGGCAGGCCCTGCTTGGTAGCTTCTGACAGGATTTCTGATACCAAGTGTTTTTTTCTGGATACCAACCTTCTGGCACCAGCTGGGTTCCCAGCTGTTTAGGTAGATTCTGATGCTAGCTTCCTGAGTTTCAGACCCCACAGGTTAAGTCCTGAGGTGGCTCACACTTTTGACAGACTGACTGTAAATCTGCAGGTTCCCCCGACCTCTCCTCAGGTTTTTTTTTAAATTTTATTTATTTGTTTATTTATTTATTTTGTGGGGGGGGCAGCTCAGCCCACCAGGGGGTGGGGCTGGCTGGCATGTGGTGCTGGGGGATTGAACCCCGGTCCCTGTGCTTTGCTTAGCTTAGCTTGTTCTAAGGAGGTGCTTTAGACCACTGAGCCATCTCACCAGCCCCTCTCCTCAGTTTTGATGATCCATTAGAACAACTCAGGGAGCTGGAAAACACTAAACTCAATATTAGAATTTCTATTCAAGGATACCGTCAGCCAGATGAAAAGGGACCTGAGCTGAGGGCCAGACAGTCATGAGTCTAGAACTTCTGCAGTCAGGGTGGGCATATCCCACTGCCAGGAGGTGGCTGGAATCTCACCCTTCAGTCCTTGTTTCCAACCTGGACTCTGAGAATAGGGAGTGGAGGTGGGCAGTGGAGAGTTCCACCCTTTGACCATGTTTGGTCTTTCTGGGGCCAGCTGTCATCTTGAAACCGTCTAGGGCTCCTGCATCAGTGCTTTAACTCAGACTGAGGAGTAGAGGAAAGGGGCTCAGCATGAATAGTAAGAGACACATCTATCACCTAGGAAAGGGAAGGCTTTAGGAGCTCTGTGTTAGAATTCAAGACAAAGCCCAGCTTTGGGGGGATGGGGATTGAGCCCAAAGGATTCTCTCTGAGCTATATCACCAATCCTTCATTTAAAGAAAAATTCATATATTTATTCGCTTCTTTAATTTCTTCCTCTGAGAAGTGTGTGTTCATCTCAGATGCCCATTTCTGGACTGGGTCTTTAAATTTTGGGGTCCTAGTGTTTTTTAGTTCTTTATAAATTCTAGAGAGCAGACCTTTGTCTGAGTACATATTTGTCATGATTTTTTCCAAATTTGTGTGTTGTCTTTTCACTTTGTTGGTAATTTCTTTTGACGTGCAAAAACTTCTCAATAAGAGCAGGCCCCAGTTGTTAATTCTTTCAAGTGTTTCCTGTGCGATTTGGTTTTTGTTCATGAACTCTTTGCCTACCCCTATGTCTTGTTGCATGACTGTCCTGCTACAAGGTTGTATATGGTTAGATTTCTGGACTTACGTGTAAACATAAGAATTATATAATTCTTTATGCCTATTGTTAAAATATATTTTAATTTTTTAAATGTTTTTTCATCATATTCTGTAGGCACTTAAAGTTCAACATATCAATACTTGATGAAAATTACCTGTTCTATGTTATGCCTAAGATGTTTGATATTCAGACAGATAGTGAGGTTAAGCTTAATAGCCTAGATTGTATGGTAATAACAATAAGCTTCTCTTTTGGAGGGTTAACAACCTAAGTTTGCAGACCAAAATTAGAGAAAAAGGAGGGCTGCAAGGAAAGCTAACATTTTGGCCCTAGCCTTCTAAGGTCAATTAAGACTCAGGACATATGAGAACTTGTACTGTAACGTCATGTAATTCAGTAGTGTCCCAAATTTTCTGATCAAGGAGATTATAGGGCCAAAGAGGAAAGTGATCAGTGATGTAGAGTGTGCCTAAGGAGAGTCACACGGAGAGAAAACATTCTCTCAGGCTTTCACAGAAAGCACATTGGCCAAGCAATGGCCGTGACTCATCCACATGGCTGACACTGACAAAGGATGTACAATCTGAGGTACAAGATCTCAGGATAAATCCTGAGGGGATTTCACTGACCTTATCAGATCCAAAAGCTACAACTCTTGTTGCATAGGTCCTGCTTTACCTTGGTCTTAACCATCCAGCAGAAAAGTATAAAAATGAAGTATAAGAAGTAAAGCCATGCTGTTATGTTGAGCTGTAGGGGACTCAGGTCAATAATTTCTGACATTGCTAGTCAAATGGAAGACCCAATACTATTATAGACTACTGGATTCTTTTAGCATATTTTGCTGAGTTAACACACCTATAATATTCAAATGATGGAACTAAACAAAAAAGGGGATACAGATGAACGTCCATTTTGTATCTGTGTATTCAAAATGGTTAGGATAGATATATAGTTACATTCTCTCAATGAATAGAGGAATTTGTTCTAATAGTGTTTGTAAATAGGATATCAAGTCCGCATCTTGAACAGCAAATAACCACTAGGAAGAATGTATGCAATGTGTTAATTATTGAAACTGTCCTATGAGTTTGATTTGAAATTGTCTCATTGCTATTTGTTTTTCAATAAAATTTTGGGAAAAAAGGCAACATTTTCCAACACTAATTAAAAAAAGAAAGAAAATAAAGAAAAATTCATGCAAGGTTCAGCTTGTGATCCTCCTGCCTCAGCCTCCCAGAGCACTGAGATTATAGATGTGAACAGTCATGTCCAGCCCAAATATTTTTAAAAATCGCAGGGCTCAGAATATAGCTCAGTGCCTATCTCAGATGCATGAGGTCCTCAAATTGATCCCCAACACTGCAAAAACAAATAAGCAACAGCAGCAAACACAAAATACCTCTGCCTCAAATGCTTCCCAGTAACCCAGTATAAGATTTTGAGTGGACAGTGAGTACTCCCATCCCTTGCATTGGTCTCCTTCACTGACCCTGCAATCCTCTGTGACTTGACTATTTATTTAAGAGATACTGGGCCAGGAGTACGAATTGGCTGCAGTCACTAAAGTGTTTTCTCTACAGAGACGAAGACCCTTTCTCCCACTACCTTTGTGTCTAGTCTTAGCTCCCAGAGAACAAGTGAACTTGTAATATTGGGGCAGAGACTAGCATTTGAGGGTACTGAGGGCAGGGCTGCTAACACAGAGGAAGAGGACAGGGCCCTACACTGATGGACTCCCTGGGAGCCCAAGGGGTGGGGCTGCCCTGGGCTGGATTTCTGCAGAGTCAGTAGGGAGAGAGGCAGCACTTTGAGGGTGCTCCGGACCTCCACAGCAGAATATAAACCCTGGGCGTCTCAGTTTCACTCCCACCGGGGCTGGCTTGCAGGACGGCAGTGCGAGGGTGACTGGGTGAAGAACTCAGAGATGGATGGTGAGATAGTCCATTTCTTCAAGGACAACGAGTTTGTCTCCTTGCACACCAGAGGTGAGAAAAGTCAGGGCACAGCCTGCTTGTCCCCCAACCCTCTGTACCCCTCTGTGGCAGCCTGGAACTCAGCTCACCACTGTCTCGGCCTTCACAAAACACAGGCAGTGGTGGAAAGTGGACCAAGCAGAAGATAGGAGTGCCAGGCACAGGTCTCTCTGCGTGCCATCTCTCCAGACCCCACACACTGTTAGTGGCACCCTGGCAGGAGGATGGGGATGCCCATTCCGCTCAGATGGGCCTGGTTTTGAACTCTAGATCTGCATACAGGCTGGCCCTGTGAGGCCTCTGGGAATCTGGGCTGGTCTCTCTCCAGCCTGAGTGGATTTTTCTGGGTGCTCTTTATTCCTTAGCACAGTTCCTAGATGGCTCAGGAACATCAGTGCCTCAGTGGCACTCTGATCCCAGTTGAGGAGGCGCTAGGACTCCCCACTGCGTGGCACCAAAGGGCTATGATTTTGCTCTGGGATTCTGAGGTCTGGGCTCCTGCTCTGCCCCTCCTCTTATCCATTTTCTTCCCTTTTCTCTTTCATTCAAGCCACACTTTTGTTGTCCTACACTCTGGGCTGTGTTTGGTCTCCCCTGCTGGATCCTCCCTGGGATTCTGAGGGCCCAGTCTAGGCAGCATCCCTGCCTTTGCATTGCTACCAGTGCCCCACAGTGACCTCCATGAATGCTTTCGAGTGCTTCTTCTTCCTTCTCCAAACCCCTGTGCCTAATAATTGTGGCAGACATTCTCTTCTTCTTGTACAGGCCAGTGGGGGCCTGCCCCTTAGCTCAGTTCTTTAAGTAGCTGCTTCAACAAAGCAGTCAGGCTCAGGTTGCTGTGGTTCGATCCCCAGAACTCAAGCCAGCCAATCATGCTCTGAAGGCATTCGGAGCCAAACAACAAAAACAAAAACAAAAACAAAACAAAACACCCTTCTGTACAGGCCAGAAGCTGAGGCAGGGAGCTGGCTCTGTCCCAGCCCACACTGGGCCCTCTCATCCTGGACCCTGGCTTCTCTCCTGCAGGGATGGATCCTGTGGCAGTGACTCCTGCTCCCTGCAAGTTGTGCAAACCTATTCAGGCTGCCATGATAGTCACAGCTGTGATCATAGTGTCCTCTCTTGTGGCTCTCTTTGTTGTGGGTAAGTTCCTAGGTGGGGAGAACCTCACTAAGTTTCCTTCCTGCGCAGAGACCCCCAAGGGACCCAGATACATTTCCTCTGAGCTCATCTGCTCCCAGAAGGGCCATCTCAATGCCGTTCCAGGCCTAGACCACAGCGGTCCCAGGGGCAGAGACCACTGGGCAAGGAGAGCCTCCTGAGAACTAAAGCTCCAGGGGAGAAACCCTGAGGGTGCCCTCGGTACCATCTCTTTCTGGAACAATAACCCTTGTGGAGAGGCCTGTTCTCTTAGGGTCAGTGCTGTGGATGGTGCTGACCTAAGAAAGGGACAACTCAGCTGTAAGGTTCCACAACCCTATACCGGAGAAGTCTCCTTCCTTCCAAGACTTTCAGGGCACGTTTCTGGAAGACAACACTACCAAACCGGTGGAACCCAACAGTGGGTAACCACAGCGGAACAGGGACAAAAAGGGGACTGGGGCATTCAGGAGCCCAAACCCTGGGACCAGCTCCTTTTACCACACACTGAGGTTCTGGAAAGCGTTCTGTCCTCCTTAGGAAAAAACAATCTTTTACTTAAAAAACAAAACCAAACCCTGCTTTATGCCAGCATTCTAGGCACACAGTACAGAGCATGTAGTTAAAGCACACAGTCTGTTAAGGTTTAATGTTGTGTATGTGCTTGTGAAACCATCTGTCTCAGTTACTTGTCTCTCGTTGCTGGGACAAATATATGACACCCAAAATGAAGGAAGGAAAGGTTTATTTAGCTCATAGTCAGTGGAGTTTTCAGGCCATACTCAGCTGGCTCCAACGCAGAGAGGCACATAGCAGAGGGCAGCCATTCAGGGCAGTGGCTAAGAGCAGAGAGCAAAGGGAGTGGCATAGCTCAGGCAGCTAGCTAGCCTCTCTCCCCTCCTTACTTTGTAATGCAGAGTCTCTGCCCCAGGGCAGTCACACCTATAATCCCAGCATGGATCAGGAATCAGTCACAAATTCCAGAAGCCGCCCCATGATGGCATGAGGTTTCAGGGGTGGGGGTCGGGGACAACTAGACACAAACCTAACATCATCACATCACGATCAAGCCAGTGGGCAGATTCATCATCCAGCCCCAGACCCTCTCCCCTTGTCCGTCACACCCAGGCAAAAGCTGATCTGCTTGCTATGGCTACGGATTGCAAGGGAGTTTTCCTTTTCTTTCTGTCTCCTTAATCCTTCTTTGCATCTTCTGTTTTCTTTTGTAGGTTTTTTTTTTTTTTTTTACAAGTTTTGGCTTTTATTAGGAATTTTTGCAGAATAATATGAAGATTGAAGTCTTTTCACCCTTCCTAAGGATACCTAACTATTTCAGTAGTATTTGTTTAAAAGATCATTTCTCTGGGAGCTGCCTTTGTGTCTTGGCTGAAAATCCTTTGCCCGTGTTTCTGTGGGTGTCCTTCACAAGCTTCTCTTGCATCCCAAGGCCTGGTCTAGCATCTGCACTGTGGCTGAAGCCTCACACACGCCCTTAGGTGGAGCCTGAGGAATGATACACTGATGCTGCAGAAAGGCTGCTTGGCCACTTGAGTTCTTCTCCCTGTTCCAGTGGGCAGGCTGGACTCAGGAGTGACCACAAATGTGGGAAATTAGATCCCGATTCAGCAAGTGAGTGGAAGATGCTGGCAGGCCCAAAGACGGGCAGGCAGGGCTGCTGGGAAAGGCAGCAGAGGAAGAGGGGCATGCAGAGTACACAGTGTTTAGGATGAAACAAAGGTGAAGCAAGAGGCTTCATGCCTGATGTACTATATATATATATACACACTATAAAAGCATACTTTTATATACTATGCAAGTAAACATGACTTTAATTTATTTACTGGCCAGCTCAGCTTGCCCTAAGGGTGAGGCTGGTGTGGCTTGTGTGCCAGGGATTGAACTGTGGGTCCCCTGCACCTGCCTAAGCTTGCCTAAGCAGGCACTTTAGACTGCTGAGCTATCTTCACCAGCCCAACATGGCCTTTAGTCATATCTGCTTTTTTTTTTTTTTTTTAAATAGTGACCAATGTATGATGAAGTCTCTATGATAGAATTAAACTCCAACAGCTCTAAATGATAAAATAGATTACTTTCAAGTTGAGCGATTGAAGGGCCGGGGAGATGGCTCAGTAGAATAAGTGCTTCCCTGGCAAACATAAGGGCCTGAGTTCAATCCCCGTTTCCACCAAAAAACAAACAAACAAACAAAAAAAAAGAGTCAATCAAGTTGAGCGATTGCAATTAGCAAAATAATCCACACCCTCCCATATCGCTCTTGGTGGCTGGTGTCTAGTAGGCAGGTGTTTCAACCCATCTGACCCGGGTGTTCATGTATGACAGCCAGATAGAACTTCAGTTATTTTGATGTTTTCTGGGGGCGAGGGCAGGCTCATCCCCAGGTCTTGGGGATAGCAGTGACTAACAGGCTGCCTGAGGAGTGTGCAGGGCTGTGACATGGATATTTACCTCCGAATTTTCCAAGCATCTTGACTGGCACTTAAGATTTTTCCGGGCTGGTGAGATGGCTCAGTGGTCTAAAGCACCTACTTAGAACAAGCTTAGCAAAGCACAGGGACCGTGGTTCAATCCCCCAGCACCACATGCCAACCAGCTGTGCCCCCTGGTGGGCTGAGCTGGCCTCGCGCGCTCGTGCGCGCGCGCACACACACACACACACACATAAATAAATAAAAAATTAAAAAAAATAAATTAAAAAAAAAAAGATTTTTCCCTACATATTTGGTCTTCTCTGCTTCTTCCCTCCAGGTCACTACCACTGTAGTGGGCTACAAGAGTTTCCAGAGGCTATCCAGATATTTAAAAGCCACATTGACAATTCTAGCACCTGGCTTGAGGAGATCCAGAATTTGAAGCGCAGAGTGGACAGTATCAGTGCTCAGATCCAGGGTCCCATGGGTCATCTGGGAGATACCAGAGCTGACATCCAGGTGGCCAAAGGTGCTCTGCAGGAGGCCAGGGCCTTGAGTTGGCAGACCCAACAGCTAGGAAGTTCCTTGGAGCGAGCCAGTGCTGAGATCCAGCAGCTAAAGGAAGACATGGGAAAGATGCAGGATTTAGCCTTCCAGACCCACGGTATCTTACAAAACCCCTCAGAAAAAACCAGCGTTGAGCTCCACAAGCTAAGCCAAGGCTTGGAAAGTGTGAGCTCTGAGGTTCAAATGTTGAAGGCAGGTTTGGAAATGGCAAACACCCAGGCCAGGTTGGCGAACAGTAGTTTAAAGAATGCAAATTCTGAGATATATGCTTTGAGAGGTCACCTGGATAGTTTCAATGACTTAAGGACCCAGAACCAGGTTTTAAGAAGTGGCCTGGAAGGAGCCCAGGCTGAGATCCAGAAGCTGGGAAGAAATTTGCAAAGTGCAAATGCTCTGAATTCCCAGACCGAGGCCCTTCTCCGAGGCAGTTTAGATAACACTAGTGCTGAGATCCTGGTACTGAGAGGTCATTTGGAAAGAACTGGGGATGAGATGCACCTGTTCAAAAGAGATTTAGAAACTGTCACTGCCCAGACCCAACTAGCAAATGGCCATCTGGAGCAGACAGATGCACAGATCCAGATGTTAAAAGCAGAACTAGGAAATGCCAGTGCCTTAAACTCTCAGGTTCAGCTATTACAGGGTCAGTTGAAAAATGTCAGTGGAGAGGTACAGACCCTAAAGCAAGAAGCGAAAGATACCGCGGCCTTAAGTTCTCAGATGCAGATGTTAGGGAGCAGTCTTCAGAAGGCCAGCACTGAGATGCAGAGGCTAAAAGAGAATTTGGAGAACAACAAAACGGAGGAGCAGAGTCAACTGGAGACCCTCCGTGAAGCCATTGCTTCCCAGGAGCAGCTGCAAAGGACCCAAAGTAAGTGGGAGGGAGGGGTGTGGCTGGGGAGGCGTGGTACCTTGGGGGGGTAGAGACTTCTGTCCCTTCATCTTGTCCCTTCAATCTCTTTGCTTACCTCAGAACACGTCTCCTATGTGCTAGAGACAGGACCAAATCCAATGAACTAGGGAGTGCTGGAGGTGGCATTTTCCCTGCCTCCCATTGCCTATAATCTGGCTAAAGTAACAAAATGAATACCTGGGCAATCCATTATGTATGGGGAAGATATGGAACAATGACATCTTAAGTTAGTGGAGCCAGACAAAGACCACCACCCCTTTTAACTCTCTGCTATCAGAAATGGTGTACCCTTATCTACAAACACACCATCTGAACATGCCCAAGCCCAGCTGCTCTCAGAAGCTAAGTAGGGTCAAGCCTGGTTAGTACTTGGATGGGAGAATCGATGTGGTCTTGAATAACTTGATTACCTCCTCTGTGCTGTATTTTTCTCATCATTAAAGTAGAAACAAACGGTGTCTGTTTCTCAGTGAAGCACAAATGAGTTAACAGATGTAAGCCAGTTTAACAAAGTACCCAGAAATCAGGCACTCATGTGACACTTCACTGAGGCCCTGTTAAATGTCAGGGGTATAAAGATGAACAGGACACGATGTGCCAAGTTTTTGGGCAGCAGGGCAGACTTGTATGAACAACACACAGACAAGTGTAAGAGGCGAGAAGTGAGAAGGCATTCTAGGAGGGCAAGGAGAAGGGAGAAGGAATCTTCTGAGGAGCATAAATGGGGAAGGCTCACAGGTGCTTGATGAGAATATGGTGCTGGGCCTGAGTCTGTAAGGACTAATAGGTGTTTGTCAAACAAGTAGAGCAAGACAGTATTAGTTCATAGTCTTGGAAAGATGAACCTGAGGTTCTGGAGGCTTCTGGTAGCATGACTAGCCTGTGGGGACATCATGAGGTGCAGGATGACAGGTCAGTAGAGTAGGGCCAAGAGCTCTGGTTTTCACATTGCCTTGACTATAATCATAGCGTGAAAGTTCATTTTACATTGTGACCCAGTATAAATATGTACAACTGTGCACACACATACTGAAAAAACCCAAAATTTTTACTGCATCAGTGTGTCCTGATACTATACTATATCCTTTATTTAAAAGCTTGTCACAACCCACTAATGGTCTGGTGAGTATGGTTTGAAAACACTGTGCTGGGGGTTAGATGGCCTGGGGATACAGGGTGGACGGGGAGGGCTTGAACTCAGCTGGATGGAGGAGCTGCTGACAGGCTGCAGGAGGGGGCTCACTACATGGTCTCCTGGCTGAGATAGGGAATCAGTGGGGAGTGGGAGTGCCCGGCTCAAGATTTGACATGCTGAGTCGGGGATGCTCGGAGACTGGAGTGTCATTAAGGCTAGCTGGAGTTCAGGAGACATAGATTTGGGGCTCCTGGGTGTGTTGGTTCTGGCTGCAGAAATAGTGAGGGATGTGCATGTGGCAGAATGCACTGTGACAAGAGGGCTAAGGGTGGAGATGTGAAGTCAGTCTTTGAGGGTGAGATGGGAAGAGGTGTTTTTGAAGGAGACCAACATGAAATGTAGTCAATGTGGCAAATACTGAAAAAATGAAAGATAAGAAATCAAGTACTCCCAAGAGATCAAGTGTTCCCAAGAAAATTTTTGTATTTTCCATTTAAGCCCACTGAGAATGTTGGGTGAACTTCCCTGGGAGGGTTATTTGTGGATTCTGGTAGGCTTGATCTAAGGATGAAAGCAGGCAGCAACAAGGGAGAGAGAAATGGAGAAGTAGAAGAGGAGGAAATGCGCAGTTGATTTTTTGAGACAAGATCTCACTATCTAGTGCAGGCTGGCCTTGAACTCTCACATAGCCCAGGCTGGCCTTGCATTCTCCGTGGCCCTTCCTCTCATCCTCCCAAATGCTGGGATCACAGGCATGTGCCACCATGCCTGGCTATGTGACTGGTCGTCAAGAGAATGTCTGAGGTCATATTTTGTCCTGGGTGGAGTGGGGAAGGGTGTGGACAGCAGTTCACCCTGCTGTGCAGATGTGAGAACAGAAACAGTGGGGTTGGCATTAGCAGGCCTCTTTCAGGATGCAGTAGGAGGCTCCCTGCTGAAGGTGAGGAGGGCATTCGGGCTGGGAGAGATGTGACTGTAACAGCTGCCAAAGACATGAGGCTAATGAGGGCATCATGGGGTGGCTTCCAGCATCCCTCTGCTGCTCTGCCTTGTGTGAGGTATGCATGGGCGCCTGGGTCTTTCCTCCTCCATGCCTCTCCAAGTGCCCCACTGTCCTCCTTCCATCCCTCCTGCATGTTTTCTTTTTTCTGATACAGGGTCTCACTTCACAGTTTAGACTTGTAGTGATCCTCCTGTCTCAGCCTCCCCAGTGCTGGGATTACACTGTGCACCACCATGCCAGGTTTCAGGCTGGCACAGTTCACCCAGGGTTCCTGGGTTGGCATGGCATGGGATACCAGGTATCAAACTCAGGATCTTGCACTTGCCAGGCAGGCGCTTAGACCACTGAGCTATCTCTCCAGCCTCCCTTCTGTATCTTTTGACTGGTATGGCACAGCTGAGGGCTGTCCCACCTTTTGACACACTTTGGAGAATCACCCAGAACTTAAGCATTAGGTTTTCCAGAGTGTGAGTTCCAACTCTAATTTTGGAGTTAGGGGTAGGGGTCTGAGGTGCAGCCTGGGCATCAGGATTTTTTTTTCAAATCCCCTTAGTGTTAAGGCTAAGAAGCATTGATTTAACTTTTTCTTAAAACATCAAATAGATATTTTAGGCTTCAGGGCTATGGCACCTGTGAATTGTAGTTTGTCAGTCTTTGATTTTCATGGTGGGTTCTTGGAACTTGGAGAGCATCAGGCTCATCTGGAGGGTTTACAGAACTGCAGAGTTTTGGTTTTTGAGGTAGGGTCTTGCTGTGTAGTTCAGACTGTCTTTGGACTCAAAGCCCGGCTGGCCTTCAACCGTGACACTTAGTTTCCTGAGTGCGGGAATCACAGACATCCACCACCACGGCCAGTTTGGACCACAGACTGTTAAAGCCCAATTTCAGCTGGAGCAGGGCTGGGATGGACCTGAGAATGTGAGCTTCAGCCGGGTCCCCAGACAGTGCTGATGTGGCCATTCTGGGACCACACCTTTTGAACTCCTGTTTGTGTTTTACTGTCTCTTTCAGAGACATTTGCCCTTGTGTTGTAATTGATGTTCTGCTTATTAGAAGTACCTTCTTCCTATCCAGTTGCCACCAGATTTGTAATTTTTTAGGGTGAAGTCTAAGTGTCTTGGGATCCCTAAAACCTCTTCATTCTTCCTGTTGTTCATGGGGGGCAAATATCGGAACCATTCACATGGGATGTGTGATTTAGTGCT